CCCCAAAACCCCAAAACCCCAAAACCCCACTTCCGTAGTATATTTAAATTTATCCACGTGTAATGGAGGAATTACTTGAACAAGATTTGACAGACAAGAATATAGCTATCTTGCATCCAGACCTTGGAATTGGAGGAGCAGAACAACTCATCATAAATGTTGCCCTTGCCTTACAAGAGAAAGGAGCCAATGTAATTATGTATACTCCAAGGTTCGACCCAGATAGATGCTTTGAAGATTGCAGTAAACTCAATATACAGGTTAGAGGAAGCCTATTCCCAAGAAGTATACTTGGAAGATTCTTTGCACTTTGAGCATATATCAGAATGTTGCTTTGCGCACTTCATGTTGCCTTCTTTGCAGGAGGATTTGACTGAATTCTTCTTGATCAGGTGTCTTTCCCAATTCCTATTTTGAGATGAGTAAACAGAAATGTTGTATTTTACTGACATTTTCCTGACAAGTTACTATGAACAGAAAGAACTTCATGGTTCAAGAGGCTCTATAGATGGGTTTTGGATACATTAGAAGAGAAGACAACTGGAATGGCACGAAAAGTTCTGGTAAATAGTGAATTTACTAAAGAAGTATATCACAATGCGTTCCCAACTCTAAACACAGAGCCTAATGTGCTATATCCTTGAATTATAGAGAAAAACTTTGAACTGCCTGAAAGCTTCAATGGGAAATCAGTGATTTATGAGATGCTTAACATTCCTAAATCCCAACCTTTGCCCAAACTAGTCACAAGTCTCAACAGATACGAAAGGAAGAAGAATATTGGACTTGCCATTCGTAGCTTTAGAGCTTTAATAAACTATGAAGGAGTTGATCCCGACCAATACCTTTTGGTTATCGCAGGAGGATACGATAATGCAGTCACTGAAAATGTTGAGCATTATGAAGAACTCTTGCAACTAGCAGAAGGACTCACAAATATTAGATTCCTCAGGTCAATATCTAATGAAGAGAGATTAACGCTTTTAAGATACACCGATGTCCAGCTTTATACACCAGAAAATGAGCATTTCGGAATTGTTCCCGTTGAAGCTATGTACATGGGATGCATTGTGTTAGCTTGTAACTCTGGAGGTCCAACAGAATCTATTGTAAATGGAAGGACTGGATTCCTCCTTGATGCTGATGATGTGAGTCAATGGGGTAAGAAACTTCATGAAATTTTCCAAGGTCAAAGCCCAAATAAACTTCTTGAAATCCTGAAGACTCAAGCAAAAGAGAGAGTTGAAGCAAAGTTCAGCTTTAACGCATTTGCCAATCAGCTTGCTGAGTATATTCAATAGATAATTCAATCTTTAGACCAAACTCTGGGGTTTTGGGGTTTTGGGGTTTTGGGGTTTTGGGG